GAGGGACGGGCTGAGCATGTGCGTACCGGATCTGGGCGAATGCTGTGACGGGATGCGCCCGCATCTGAACTGCTGCTCAATGAGAGCCAGCAATGCGGGCGCCACGCTCAATGAGCCTGCTCGGTTTACCGAGGCCGTGCTCTTCGAGCCGACGGCGTGGAAGTCGTGCGAGGGCTATGTGTACGGCGACCGTCACTCTGCATCGCCCGCCACCGCAACTCCTCCGCCCTCTCTGCCTTTGCCACTCTCGCATCGTAGTCGTCGCCATCCGGCCGAACCCACACGCCTCGCAGGTAGTCCCAGTCGCATGGAACGCCAGAGACGGTCGGGGCTCTGGCTCGGGGCCTGGGAGTGCCGCCGGCAGCACGCACAGCGTTCAATGCTTGGCGCCGCTCCGTCCGTGCCGACGACATTTGTAGATGAAGGAGGCAGGTGGCCAATAGCGACCTTCGTTACGAAATGTAGCGTTACCGGGAGGTCTCCAAGCTGTCTTGGGTGGTAACTTCCCGGCCTACCAAGTGACGGGTTTTGCCCCGAAGTGACAGTAAAGTGAAGGTTTTCGCGGCAAGTGGCGTTTTGCGCACGACACACCGCTATAATGAACACACACACACACACATACTCACTGTGTGAGGGTGCCGGACGGGTTACCTTTAACAAGGCATCTTCGGCTGAGCTCAAAATGGCAGTCACCCGCCTGCTTTTGCTGGCTTTTCTCGCGGCAGACACTCGGGCCATCGCTGGCTACGCCCCTGGCTCGGATGATGGTGCGGTCGCCTCGATCGTCGCCCGGCGCCAGATGTACGACGGAAACCGTGGCGGCAGCAGAACGGGCGGCGGCGGCCAGCAGGAGACAGAGGCGGCGCTCTTGGCCACACCCCGCGCCCGGCGCTCGCTCGATAGCACCGGAACGTACGGCACGATCTTTGGGCGCAAGATCGGGCAGACGATGCAGATCTTTGCGTACTCGAGCGACACGGCAACGAACGGTGCGTCCGGCGTGCTCATCGACGCGGACACCGCCCTCTCCTGGCAAACCGTCGAGGTCGCCTTTGCCAACGGCGTGATCGAGAGCGTCGCCGCCGAGAACGGCCTCACTGCGACTATCAAAACGAACAACAAGGAAGTCGGCGTCGGCGACATGGCTGGCTCGGGCGACACCCACCCCGCCGGCCTCGTCATGACTGTCACCTTCACCTCCGGCACGGACATGGACAGCGTGTACATCGACTTCTCGTCGAGCACAACCGTGATCTGCATCTTGACCTGCGTCCCGTTTACCTCGACGCCCCGTGTGGCGACCGTCGTGCAGGACAAGAGCAACAACCTCTACCTGTTTGCCTCGCCCAACACGCCCACCGACGGCAAGGCTTCGACCATCGAGATTGCGGTCACGGGCGCCGTTGACGAGAGCGACATCACCCCCCTTCTCACTGACATGACGCTGCAGGTTGGCAGCGGCTTCTTCGGGCTGACCATCCTCGACGGCACGTCGAATCTCCCCGACGGCGAGGCGATCGCCGTCGCGTCTCGGCCCCTCCTCGACATCGACGTGGACTCTGTGACGACTGCGGTCGTCGCCTCTCCCGCCGCCCCGGCATTCGACGCGCTCATCTTTGTCATCGGGGCGGCCTTCGACCCGTGCGTCTTGTGCAACGCAATCGTGAGAAAGACTGGCAACAGGCCCCCATCGTACGGAAACCCGTGCCTGCCTGGCGACCCGACGAAAACCTACAAGGACGGCCCCAAATCCTCCGCCGACCTCGTCCAGTTGACTACCGAGTGCTACACGAACATCGCGGACGAGAGTCCGGTGCGCCGCTGCGTCTATGACTACAAGGAGGGGTCAGGATACGATTACGATGGGAAATATAACGGGGAGCCCCTTAACCGAATTGAGACGTGCATGATGCTCCCGTCGCCGTCCCCGCCTGCGCTTCCGCCGGCCTCGTACCCGCCGCCGCCGCCGTCCGGCTCGCCCGCGCCGCCGCCGCCGTCGGCCTCGCCCTCCCCGCCGCCGCCGTCCGCCTCGCCGTCGCCGCCGCCTCCGTCCGCGTCGCCCTCGCCTCCGCCACCCTCCGCCTCTCCCTCCCCGCCACCTCCTTCCGCGTCGCCGTCGCCACCGCCTCCCTCCGCGTCGCCGTCCCCGCCGCCTCCGTCGGCCTCGCCGTCGCCGCCGCCGCCATCCGCGTCGCCGTCGCCGCCGCCTCCGTCCGCCTCGCCCTCGCCGCCGCCTCCCTCCGCCTCTCCCTCCCCGCCACCTCCTTCCGCGTCGCCGTCGCCACCGCCTCCCTCCGCGTCGCCGTCCCCGCCGCCTCCGTCGGCCTCGCCGTCGCCGCCGCCGCCGTCCGCGTCGCCGTCGCCGCCGCCTCCGTCCACCTCGCCCTCGCCGCCGCCTCCCTCCGCCTCGCCGTCGCCACCGCCGCCGTCCGCGAGCACCGACACGTACGGCACGATCTTTGGGCGCAAGATCGGGCAGACGATGCAGATCTTTGCGTACTCGAGCGACACGGCAACGAACGGTGCGTCCGGCGTGCTCATCGACGCGGACACCGCCCTCTCCTGGCAAACCGTCGAGCTCGCCTTTGCCAACGGCGTGATCGAGAGCGTCGCCGCCGAGAACGGCCTCACTGCGACTATCAAAACGAACAACAAGGAAGTCGGCGTCGGCGACATGGCTGGCTCGGGCGACACCCACCCCGCCGGCCTCGTCATGACTGTCACCTTCACCTCCGGCACGGACATGGACAGCGTGTACATCGACTTCTCGTCGAGCACAACCGTGATCTGCATCTTGACCTGCGTCCCGTTTACCTCGACGCCCCGTGTGGCGACCGTCGTGCAGGACAAGAGCAACAACCTCTACCTGTTTGCCTCGCCCAACACGCCCACCGACGGCAAGGCTTCGACCATCGAGATTGCGGTCACGGGCGCCGTTGACGAGAGCGACATCACCCCCCTTCTCACTGACATGACGCTGCAGGTTGGCAGCGGCTTCTTCGGGCTGACCATCCTCGACGGCACGTCGAATCTCCCCGACGGCGAGGCGATCGCCGTCACGTCTCGGCCCCTCCTCGACATCGACGTGGACTCTGTGACGACCGCGGTCGTCGCCTCTCCCGCCGCCCCGGCATTCGACGCGCTCATCTTTGTCATCGGGGCGGCCTTCGACCCGTGCGTCTTGTGCAACGCAATCGTGAGAAAGACTGGCAACAGGCCCCCATCGTACGGAAACCCGTGCCTGCCTGGCGACCCGACGAAAACCTACAAGGACGGCCCCAAATCCACCGACGACCTCGTCCAGGAGACTACTGAGTGCTACACGAACATCGCGGACGACCCCACGAAACCGGTGCGCCGCTGCGTCTATGACGCGATGATGGGGTCAGGATACGATTACTATGGGCAGAGCATTGATCGGCCCCTTGACCGAATTGAGACGTGCATGATGCTCCCGTCGCCGTCCCCCCCTGCGCTTCCGCCGGCCTCGTACCCGCCGCCGCCTCCGTCCGCCTTGCCTGCGCCGCCGCCCTCCGGCTCGCCGTCGCCGCCTCCCTCCGGCTCGCCGTCGCCGCCTCCCTCCGGCTCGCCGTCGCCGCCGCCGCCCACGCCGCCGCCTCCCTCCGCCTTGCCTGCGCCGCCGCCCTCCGGCTCGCCGTCGCCGCCTCCCTCCGGCTCGCCGTCGCCGCCGCCGCCCACGCCGCCGCCTCCCTCCGCCTTGCCTGCGCCGCCGCCCTCCGGCTCGCCGTCGCCGCCGCCGTCCGGCTCGCCGTCGCCGCCGCCGCCTCTGCCGCCGCCTCCCTCCGCCTTGCCTGCGCCGCCGCCGTCCGTGTCGCCGTCGCCGCCGCCGCCTCTGCCGCCGCCTCCCTCCGCCTTGCCTGCGCCGCCGCCGTCCGTGTCGCCGTCGCCGCCGCCGCCTCTGCCGCCGCCTCCCTCCGCCTTGCCGTCGCCGCCTCCCTCCGGCTCGCCGTCGCCGCCGCCTCCGTCCGCCTCGCCCTCGCCGCCGCCACCCTCCGCCTCTCCCTCCCCGCCACCTCCTTCCGCGTCGCCGTCGCCACCGCCTCCCTCCGCGTCGCCGTCCCCGCCGCCTCCGTCGGCCTCGCCGTCGCCGCCGCCGCCGTCCGCGTCGCCGTCCCCGCCGCCTCCGTCGGCCTCGCCGTCGCCGCCGCCGCCGTCCGCGTCGCCGTCGCCACCGCCTCCGTCGGCCTCGCCGTCGCCGCCGCCTCCGTCGGCCTCGCCGTCGCCGCCGCCTCCCTCCGCCTCGCCGTCGCCGCCGCCTCCGTCCGCGTCGCCATCGCCGCCGCCTCCGTCCGCCTCGCCGTCGCCGCCGCCTCCGTCCGCGTCGCCGTCGCCGCCGCCGCCGTCCGCGTCGCCGTCGCCGCCGCCTCCCTCCGCGTCGCCGTCGCCGCCGCCTCCGTCCGCCTCGCCGTCGCCGCCGCCGCCGTCCGGGACGCCGTCGCCGCCGCCGCCATCGGCCATCGCCGTCGCCGCCGCCGCCATCCGCGTCGCCATCGCCGCCGCCTCCGTCCGCGTCGCCGTCGCCGCCGCCACCGTCCGCGTCGCCGTCGCCGCCGCCTCCGTCCGCCTCGCCGTCGCCGCCGCCGCCGTCCGCGTCGACGTCGCCGCCGCCTCCGTCCGCGTCGCCGTCGCC